CAGCAGGAAGCGCAGAGCGGTAGCGAGTGTCACTAGTGCGGAGGTGCGTAATGAGGTCAGCGACTGTGGGAAAGGCACTAAGGTCAGGAAAGAGGTACGGTAGCATGAGGCGGCTCAGTGCAGCAGTGGCAGGGGAGGAGTAGCGCGCAACTACAGCGTCGTACAAGGTCTGAGCACTCTTGTACTGACTAAAGTGCGCGCGCTCGGAGGTAGGCAGGTGGCGACGCACAGCAAGACGTGCAGCAGCATCGCGCGTGGCCCACTGGGAGCGAACAGTGGCGTCAGCGTCAGCAGCAGGGGCATGGGAGGCGCGAGAGGTGAGGTCAAAGAGGGAGAGACCGTCTGCCCTATCGCACTGTAGGAAAAGCTGCAGGTCATCTACCCAGACCTCAAAGTCAATGGCCCGACCCTCAGTGTCAAAAGCGAGAACACTGGGGGTAGCCATGATAGCAGTAGACTAGTAGCACTAACTGTAGGAAAGGGGCAGTGCAGTGACAGAAGCGCTGCTCTCACCAGACAGGGCGGTTCGGGCAGCTCAGCAGCACAGCAGCTCGGCAACACGGCGGCTCGGGCGACTCGGACGGCTCGGTGACGTAGGGCGCCAGGGCCGCTGGTAGGGCGGCAGGGCCGCTGGGAGGGCGGCGGGGCCGCGAGGTAGGTGGCAGGGCCGCAGCGGGAGGGGCGGCTGGGCCGAAGCGAGGGGCAGCGGGGCCGCAAGGTAGGCGGCGGGGCTGCAGCGAGAGGGGTGGCGGGGCCGCAGCGAGAGGGGCGGCGGGGCCGCAGCGAAGGGCGGCGGGGCCGCAAGATAGGCGGCGGGGTCGCAGCGAGAGAGGCGGCGGGGCCGCAGAGAAGGGTGGCGGGGCCGCAGAGAAGGGCGGCGGGGCCGTAGCGAAGGGCGGCGGGGCCGCAGCGAAGGGCGGCGGGGCCGCAGTGAAGGGCGGCGGGGCCGCAGCGAAGGGCGGCGGGGCCGCAGCGAAGGGCAGCGGGGCCGCAGCGAAGGGCAGCGGGGCCGCAGCAAAGGGTGGCGGGGCCGCAGTGAAGGGCGGCGGGGCCGCAGTGAAGGGCGGCGGGGGGGGCCGCAGCGAAGGGCGGCGGGGCCGGGACAGGGCGGCGCCTGGGCCGTAGGGCTAGGCGACGGGGCCGTAGGGCTAGGCGACGGGGCCGCTAGGGCGATGGGGCCGCCAGGGCGACGGGGCCGCTAGGGCGACGGGGCCGCTAGGGCGGTGCGACAAGATGAGAGAGAGGAGCGCGACTCGGGCTGAGCGCGCTCTGGGCAGAAAAAAAGTTTCGACTTGGTGGGCCCTAGGCACAGTTCCCACTAGGGAACCTGCTCGATACCATGAGAAAACTGAAACGAGAATGATTGAACTATGAATGAACGGAGTACAAGTACTAACCCTAATTGGGTTGTACCCCTTATGGGCTACCCCACTATAGCCTACACAATAAGCACAAGCTATATGTTCTGACATCGCCTTGCAGAATGCTTGCTAGGGATTGCAATGCCATTCCAGTGATATCACTTGCATGCTCTTCTTTGTACTCTAATTCTCAATTTTCAATGTTCTTTCAATTTCCTCAGTGGAAACTCTTGCCAAATTTCTTAGTGGTCACAGCAAGTAGTAAGAACTCTGATAGAACGCTACTAGAGCGCTACGATCAGCCACACAACTCCGTGCTCTCCTTCGTAGCCCACTCTCGTTGTAGGGTGACCTGTTTGCGCCAAATTTAACGCTTAAGCCTGTAGAACGCCACTTTTGGGGCGCACGAATTTAACCGTCTGCAGGTTCGAAGTTGTTGATTCGCCGGGCAAATGGTCGCACAACTAGTGCGGTGCTTATTCTACCTCGGGAGCTAGCATCAGCCTCCGCACATGTTATGCGAGGCAGCAACATCCGCGCAACGCAACCAGCATGAATGCGCCTAGAAAATGCACGGAAGGCTACCGCGGTCAAATTGGTGCGGAACCCTAAACGCCTGCAGAACAATGCCAGTGTCGCGCCCTTCCTAATGCAAGGTTTGCGGGAAATCCAGGGTGCCCTCTGAGGCGGCAGAAAACTCCTGGCGAGAGTGGGAGCACATTTTGCGCCGCAGCAAACAAAACCCCTGGCCACACCAAGCGTGCTCCATCCTTCTGTCCGCTGAACCCAACAGCATGTTTCAAGCACTGATGCCAGCTCCACGAGCCCCTAGAATCGCAGTACACAACGCTCAACATCCCACCTGCCCCGTGCTAGCCCTCCGCTCCCCCTTCATACCCACCTGCATCCGCAACATTACCTGTCGCGACTCGCGCAAATACCGCGCGCATCGCCAAATGAAGCTGCGACATAAGCGCAGGTGCCATGGAGGGGCCGTGAATCTCTCTCCTAGCCGCATAAGATTTAGGCGGGAATAATTCTGCGCTTCGGCGAATTAACGAGGCTAGAAATACTATTCTGATTGGCTGCGAACTCCATCACCATCGACAGCCCTTTTCGTCACAATGTGACGTGCTCCCAAACTCAATTTCATCACCACGGGTAGTGCGAGACATTCCGTCCAACCATAAATTCCCACGTTCGCACTCCGATTGATCACACATTCGATTCTTCACTTGGCTTTGCAACGCTGAAAGTCACTCGTACGATCACTCACGGCAGTTAGAAGATACATTCAATTCGCGCCATGGCGTCGTGGCAGCTTTCCGTTCTCGCCCTCTGCACGCTCGCGTCACTGCTGGCGCCTGCTGCGGCGCGGCCTACCAAGGAGGAGTTCATCGACGAATTAAAGCAGACCCGCGACGCACTTGCGGACCCCAAGCTGAACGGCTGATATCACGCCACCCGCACGCTCCTTGACCACGTCATCCCTCAATTGGGTAAATCCTGCTGCATTTCCTGCAAGTTATGCGCGCCGTTGTTGTTTCATTCTCTGGTACTAAATTTCGTAGCGTCCTTTGGCTTGACACTGCTTCTGTTTTCTTCGTGATGATGCAGAGACGGACTGGAACCCGAATGAGGATTTCCTCAACAAGGTGTACCACAAAACTATGCTGCTGCCGGAGAACGGCGTCATTGCTTCCAAGGCCCCGGACGCGCTCGCCATGATGGTGAAAACCGGCATGAGGCGCGGCGAAGTCGACCCCTACACCAAGCTCTTTCGCGCGCAGATGCTGGACGGCGTGTACGAGGAGGACGACCCCGCGAAGGCGTCAAATCTGAAGAACGTGAATGGCGGCAGCGTGGGTACGGATCAGATTGTGGACGCGACGACGAAGTCTAAGAAGGTCGCTATTGGAGACGGCAAGGCTAAGATTAAGCATGCTGGGATTTTCAGGGAGAAGTTTCTTACCATCCATGGCGTCGACCAGGCCTCTCGATATCAGGGTGATTATTTTTATGACCCTTACTATAAGGGCGGGTTTGACTATGCACCCTTTTTTACAAGACTGGTTTTGTTTTAGACCCTTACAAAAAAGAGTGATCGATTATACGACACTGATATTTCAGAGCTATGTGGTGTAGTAGCACTGATAAAATCGAGTTCGATCTAAGAGAGGATACGAGGATTGGTCGAGTCCATGTTATTCTAGTCGGACGCTCGCGCTGAGTATCGAAATCGGCCCTCTGCATAACTTAGTCGGACCTCTGCTGAGTCGACTCAACCCACCGCAACACCAACATCCTGCCCGGTATGAGAGCTAAAATTATACAAAACTTTTCAAACCCTGATTTTAAAGAGCAGTTTCTGTGAAGCACCCTTACTGAAAGAGTAAAAGCTGGGTGTTGGCCTTACGTGAAAGAGTACCCCAAATCCTATCCAGAGGCCTGGCGTCGACGCGTCGCAGCCGGAAGAGTAAATTTAAGTTCGACGGATGCTCTTCTTGGGGTGATAATCATGCTTTCTCGCAACCACGTCAAGGGTTGGCAGATTGGCCAAGTGGTTGAGCGCTTTACCAGTTCCGCTATTTTCCCTTAGCACTAAGTCTGAAAAACACAGCGGGTTGTCTCAATGTTGCTCTAGCGATCCCCCTGAGAAGTTTGTATTATGCTTGGCTGAATATCTGTTTGTATTGTACTTGGCCAGGGCCTCAGATTCGTGTTTAGCTTGGCTGAGACGTCAGCCTTAGCAGGCTACGCTAGGCTGATCAGAGTTGGTTCAAAAAAAAAATCTGATTTTTCAGACAAGTCACCTAAAAAAACGCTGACTAATCAGCCTCACTAAAAAATGCAAGCTGATCTATGTTTAAGCACTTTGTTCATTAAGTTTAGCAGGTGCTGTGCTGTGCTGCCCTGGTGGTTGGTGAATGGCGCATAAGGGATGTGATTGGTTAAACAACCAATCACATCAATTGAAGCATTCTGTCGGTGACAACGAAGCAACCGACTCGTCGGGGAAATTCGTTTTCCCGCTGCGTCGGCGCTGTACGTGGCTACTTTTGCGTGATTGACGGTGGATGTACATGGACAGCCGAAAAACACGGCTCCGGCACGAATCTGTAATAGCGTGAGTTCAGCCTACACTCTCGTTACAAGTCTGATCAATCAGCGGACACTTGTAAAAAAACGCTGGAAAATCAGCCAATACCGGTACTTCAAAAAAAAACCTGAAGAATCAGCCAACACAATTAAAAAAAAAAACTGAATTATCAGCCAACACATCAGCCATATGTCTGGGAAATCAGCGTCCAGACCCTAAATCAGCCTTTTTTCGCTGACTTCTGAGGCCCTGTACTTGGCTGAATAGTCTGTATTGTACTTGGCTAAGTATCTTATTGTGTTTTGTGTTGTTCTCGGCTGATGATTGAGTTTGTATTGTGACACATAGCAATAGAATGCCCTTCAGTGAAGTGGGAAATGTGGCAACGTCATCACCACAATGCAAGGCCTCCCTCCAGCACAATTCCTGCTTGTACTCAATGGGGAATAAGCTAATGGGTGGACTGACTGCTGTAATGGGGTGAGATGCAAGCAGAACACTCATTGCATCCTAGATTATTCTCAAAGTAGACAGTTATTTCATGCGCCTTTAATCTTGTGTGCAGCTTGAGTTGGCGACAGGGCTTGTGAGAGTGCGGCAGCGGGCGGGGTGAGCAGCGGTGCAGGCGGGGATGAGTGAGCAGATGCAGGGGAGGGCGCACACAGCATGGCCTGTATGGCATGCACCAACTGGCACAGGGCCAAGGGTGCATGGGGGGAGAAGCTTGCTGAGATTGATCACGGGGGAAGAGAGAGGATGAGCCAGCAACCAGTGAATGGCCTGCACCTATAGGAAACATGGTTGAGTTGAGAGAGGGTGCATGTGGAAAAAGCGTGTTAAGGAAGAACCGGAGCAGGCTGAGACTGAATGTAGTGAAGTTCCTTCCCCTGCCATGCGTGTGCCTTCAACTGCTGCCACGCATGCTGCTACTATTCCTATGCTCTCTCCCCCATATGCTCCCCGCACTGGTTTTTCCCCAGGCAGTAGCCCTGCAGCAAGAGGTGTGCTGTCTGCATCGCTGATGTCTGGAGCATTGCTGTCTGCAGCGCTGCTGTTGCTGCCTCGTGTCTTGCTGCACCCTGCTTGCACTGCACCCTCGCTCCCCGTGGGAGCAGCGGCAGGCAGGTCACAATTGGAAAACATGTCTATCCACACACGGTCGACAAATCTTGTTTTTTTCTCGAGGTACAGTGGTACTGAGTGACAATGAGAGGGAATAAATGGGAGAGGCAAGGGGATGGGGGAGTGATGAGTAAGGGAAGCAATGCGAGGGAGAGGCAATGCGAGGGAGAGGCAATGAGAGGGAGAGGCAATGAGAGAAGAGGCAATGAGAGAAGAGGCAATGAGAGGGAGAGGCAATGAGAGGGAGAGGCAATGAGAGGGAGAGGCAATGAGAGGGAGAGGCAATGAGAGGGAGAGGCAATGAGAGGGAGAGGCAATGAGAGGGAGAGGCAATGAGAGGGAGAGGCAATGAGAGGGAGAGGCAATGAGAGGGAGAGGCAATGTGTGCGATGTGCCAACAAGTGCAAGCTGGATTCGCAAACACATCTCTCCGCGCACCCACGCTCGCACACTCACACGTGCCACACCATTTTTTGGTTCAGCGGTTGGCGAGAGTTCTGTTGGAGGAGATTGGGGCTGGGAAGAAAGGTTGGCAGAGGGGTGGAGGCGTGGGGGGGGGGGGGGGGGGTGGTGAGGGCAGTTGGGAGGCGCAATGGTTAGAGCAGAGGGAACGGCTGAGGGAGGAGTTGAGTGGGAAATGGAGGGGCGTCTAATGAGAGCGTGGGAGCAGTAGGAGAAAATAATGAGCATGACACTCATGCCACACATGCCTGCCACAAATGCTACTCATGCCACACACGCCACCCATTCCCCCCCCACCCCCACCCCCGCAACCCCCATCCACCCACCCCTTCCCCCACCCTCTCGCCCTCCAAACCACTCACCACCAATCACTGCTCGGTTGCACGGTGCCACGGCAGGAGGGAGTGCCGGGGGAGCAGCACGTCGCATGAGCGAACACCACTCACTCGCCCGTCGCTGCCGCCGCCACCGCTCATCACGGGGGAAAAGAGTTGAGCACAGCAGCACGGCACGGGCATGAGCGGACGGGGCATGGAGGAGGGCCAAAAGGGTCCCGCACACACAGGATTCTGGACGGTCACCTCGGGAATAGGCGAATAACTGCAGATGTTATTCCACCTGCTGATCCCAATGCACCCAATACACACTCAACCCTTCTCAACCCTTCTCACCTTTTCTCACCTCTTCTCAACCCTTCTCACCCATCCTCACCTCCTCAACCGCTGGCCCAGGTGGGTGAAGCTGCTCACAACCCTGGGCGTGAGGAAGAGCACACGGAGATGGCCTGTTGAACTGCATGCACATGTTCACCCGGCGCATGCGCATGTTCACCTGGCGCATGCGCATGTTCACCCGGCGCATGCGCATGTTCACCCGGCGCATGCGCATGTTCACCCGGCGCATGCGCATGTTCACCTGGCGCATGCGCATGTTCACCCGGCGCATGTGCATGTTCACCCGGCGCATGGGCATGTTCACCCGGCGCATGTGCATGTTCACCTGGCGCATGCGCATGTTCACCTGGCGCATGCGCATGTTCACCCGGCGCATGCGCATGTTCACCCGGTGCATGCGCATGTTCACCTGGCGCATGCGCATGTTCACCCGGCGCATGTGCATGTTCACCCGGCGCATGGGCATGTTCACCCGGCGCAGGTGCAGTGGCTCGCGCCACCCCCATACACCGTTGCAACACCGAAAGGCCTTTGGTCAGCGGGGATTGAGAACGACCAGAACAATCATTTGTGTGTCTAACGCCGCGCTAAGAGCGAGGGAGGACGGAGGAAGGATCACCAGTCGCTCATCACTACACCCCCACCCTTCCCCCCCCTCCCCCTCACCACTACACCCCCACCCTTCCCCCCCCTCCCCCTCATCACTACACCCCCACCCTCCCCCCACCTCCCCTCATCACGTGGGATCGAGCCCAACGAGCCTGTCGCTGCCGCTTGCCTCTGCTCGCGCGCACATGCTTGACGTGACGCAGCGCGAGCGGGAGGGAGGGAGGGGGAAGGGAAGCGAAAGTCTAGGGATAGGTTGAAGAGAGAGGGAGAAAGGATCACCACGCAGTTGTCTCTGCCATCACCACGCACTACCTGTCCCAGCGTGCACGGCGGTTCTGTGAATCGCTCGTCGCCGGGCGACTTCGCGTAAGCGACAGTCGACGTCGGCGGCGACGGAGACGAGAAGAAGGTCGACAAGGGACACGTGTCGCCCAGCAATAGCTTCGAGCGTATGTTATTCTGAAGCGAGTGTCACTAGGTTTTAGACTCCTAATCCGGATCCAGGGACGCGACGCTAGCGTCCGCTCCACGTGGCAGCATGTGAGCACTGCACATCAATGCGCGGCGACTTGGCAGCTCCGGTGAAGCTGACAGACCGATGAAGTGCGCGACCGCTGGGATGAAAGAGCCAACTTGTTTCCACAACGACACTGCTACAAATGGGAGGGGACCCAGTGAGTGATTGTGGGAATGGTAAGTGAAAATATAGGGAAAATATGCGAAAAGTAATTAGCACGGGACTCAATGACGCGTACACCTTGAAGTTTTCACGCGTGTGCATGGCCAAAGTTTCGACTCAACGATTGTGGCGACAGTAACCCTACTTACCTGAACAGCCCCCAGACCTGCATACTGCAGAGTTACCCGATCTGGAATTTTCGCGCCATGGCAAACTCTGATGCGAAACCTGAAGGGTGGGGTGTGAGTGGAAGGCGGACATTCACCTGGCCGCAACAGACGGACCTCCAGCAAAAATGAGGTCTTCCGCGCCGCGGCGAACTCCCTTGAAGCTCTCACGAAACTGTGGTTGTGATGTGAAGCTCCCCGCGCGAGGCCGAACGACTTACTTATATTGGCTGCGAAACTTGTCACCGCACCACTAGCAAACTCTCAGTTTCGTCAGAAACATAACCCCGGTTTCGTCAGAAATTCCGTCACGAGCAAAAGCTGTAGGTTCCGTTCCAGATCCAGAACATCTATTCCCCCAGCACGTTGACGACGCATTTCAGCTTCGTCACCCCAGTCGTGCGTGCACCATGGCTTTGTCGCGACAGATTTCTGTTCTTGCCATTACGCTAGTTTTACTGCTGGCGCCTGCTGCGGCGGCGAGGCGGCGGCCCAGCAAGGGACAGCTGATTGCGGAGGTGAAGAAGGCCCGCGACGCGCTCAAGAACCCCAAACTGAATGGCCGATATCGCGCCAGCAGCGTGCTGCTTGATCGCCTCATCCCTCAACTGGGTACCGTGATGAACTCATTTATTCTGTGGAATTTTCACATCTGTTTCTCCCCTATCCAATCAAAGAAAAGATAAAAACACCACAGCAACAACTTATGTTTGAAATTACTACCTTCTCAAATATTTTTCTCGTTGCTTTTTTTTTTCATCTGTGCTTCAGAGACCAACTGGAACCCAACGGACGCGTTCCTCGCCTCAGCCGACGGCAAAACTGTCCTCTTACCCGAAGACAGCGCAATCAAATCCGCGGCGCCTAATGCCATCTACAACATGGTGAAGCCGGATCTGAAGCGCCAAGAGCTTCGCTCCTATGCTTCGTGGATTCGTTCGAATATTCTCGACGGGGTGTTACCAGAGGAGAAGGACATTGCTACCGCCAAGGTGTTACGGGATGACAATGGTCGCAAGGTGGACACGGCTGTCACTGTGACGCCCAACGGCTTGGGGGGTTGGATAAAGAAGATACGCATCGGAAAGGGCAAGGCGAAAATCAAGCACCCCAAGCTGTTCAAGGGGAGGTTTTTCGTTATCCACGGTGTGGACGGAGTGCAGATGCCGCAGTAATGTAGTACCGGTATGCTTCTGTCGGGTCTGGCAGGGTGCAAACGGGGGAATTCTCGTTCAATGTATCTTTTATACCATGTATCATATGCTAATATAATCAATGACATGACACCTTCCCTGCAGCAACGCAGAAAGCCCCATCCGTACAATATACCGGTACCATCATGCCAAAAAAGCAGCCAGCAGACATGATTTGAAAGTAACTGAGTGAATGGATCGGGTTCTTGAAGAATCTCGGGTCAAATCTGCTCCACATTCTCCACCTTGTGAGTATACATGGGAGGGCAGTGGGTGCACATGGGAGAGCAGTGGGTGCACATGGGAGGGCAGTGGGTGCACATGGGAGAGCAGTGGGTGCACATGGGAGGGCAGTGGGTGCACATGGGAGAGCAGTGGGTGCACATGGGAGGGCAGTGGGTGCACATGGGAGAGCAGTGGGTGCACATGGGAGAGCAGTGGGTGCAGATGGGAGGGCAGTGGGTGCACATGGGAGAGCAGTGGGGCAGCCCAGCCCAGCCCAGCCCAGCCCAGCCCTGCCAGGCCTGTGCCTTCCCCTGCCAGGCCTGTGCCTTCCCCTGCCAGGCCTGTGCCTTCCCCTGCCAGGCCTGTGCCTTCCCCTGCCAGGCCTGTGCCTTCCCCTGCCAGGCCTGTGCCTTACCCTGCCAGGCCTGTGCCTTCCCCTGCCAGGCCTGTGCCTTCCTCTGCCAGGCCTGTGCCTTCCCCTGCCAGGCCTGTGCCTTCCCCTGCCAGGCCTGTGCCTTCCCCTGCCAGGCCTGTGCCTTCCCCTGCCAGGCCTGTGCCTTCCCCTGCCAGGCCTGTGCCTTATCCTGCCAGGCCTGTGCCTTCCCCTGCCAGGCCTGTGCCTTCCTCTGCCAGGCCTGTGCCTTCCCCTGCCAGGCCTGTGCCTTATCCTGCCAGGCCTGTGCCTTCCCCTGCCAGGCCTGTGCCTTCCTCTGCCAGGCCTGTGCCTTCCCCTGCCAGGCCTGTGCCTTCCCCTGCCAGGCCTGTGCCTTCCTCTGCCAGGCCTGTGCCTTCCCCTGCCAGGCCTGTGCCTTCCCCTGCCAGGCCTGTGCCTTCCCCTGCCAGGCCTGTGCCTTCCCCTGCCAGGCCTGTGCCTTCCCCTGCCAGGCCTGTGCCTTCCCCTGCCAGGCCTGTGCCTTCCCTGGCCATTCCTGTGCCTTTCCCTGCTGCCACGCCTGCCACGCTGGCTGCTGCTACTCCTATGCCCCCCCGTCCCCCCCCCCCTCCATATGCTCCCCGCACTGGCTCTTCGTTAGGGAGTGCCGGGGCGCAGGGGAGTGAGTGCTCACGTTGAGACGGCGCGTGAGGTGAGGGGGGCACCACTCACTGGCCCGTCGCTGCCGCCGCCGCTCATCGGGGGAAAAGAGTTGAGCCCAGCAGCACTGCAATGCACGGGTGGAGGAAGGAAGGCCACGCGGACAGGTTACACAGGCACTGAGGGGAAGGGAAGGTCAGAGCAGACGGGTAGTTACCATGGAGATATGTGGCTAAGTGACCGTCTGAACAGCAGCAGATACTCCCCGCCTGCTGATCGCAACTCATTACTCAACCAATACAGTCTCAACCATTCTCGATCCTACTCACCGTTTCTCACCGTTCATCACCTCGTCAACTGCGGGCTCAGGTGAGTGACGGCGCTCACAGCCCTGGGGTGAAGGAAGAGCACCCGGAGGAGGTCTGCCCGTTCACCCGTCGCATGTGCATGTGCATCTGCATGTGCATGTGCATCTGCATGTGCATGTGCATCTGCATGTGCATGTGCATCTGCATGTGCATTGGGCTGCCCCACACCCATACGAGTGCGTGCCAGAGGCACCATTGCAACACGGGATGGCCTTTGAGTCGGCAGGGATTAACAATGACCGAAGCAGTCAATTGTGGGTCCAACATTGGGAAATGACTGGATTCAAAGCGTCGCAAGCTCTCTAGGGGTACGTGAAAAACCTACGGGGTGTGCGGTGCTGGCAGCGACGGGTGTGTGGTGCTAGTTCCCTCGTGATGAGTGGCAGGGGGTGGTTATGAGCGAGTGATGTGATCCTTCCTCCGCCGCTCCCTCACTCATGGCACGTTGGACCCACGATTCTAGTGCGCCTGTGAAGGCTTTTTTATGACATATGATCCTAGCCTACTGTGTTTGGCTTTCAGACTAGGGACCTTTTTACAATCTCCCTCGTTTTCTGATTAGCTGCCCAGCTCCACACCGCCACTCACCTCTTTTCGCGCGCACGAGCTTGGCACGCCGCAGAGCAGGAAGGAATGAGGGAGGAAGAGAGGGAGCGAATTCCGTGGGATAAGGTTAAGAGTGAGGGAGCGAGGCAGAAAGGATCACCACGTACCCCTCGCTGCCAGCACCGCGCCGCCACTCATCACCTTGCTCGCGTGCACATGCCATTGCGCGCCGCGTGGAAGGCGGGAGTGCGGAGAGGGAGCAAAATTCGTGGGATAGGGTAAAGAGTGAGGGAGCGAGGGAGAGCGAGGGAGAAGGATCAGCACGCACCCCTCTCTGCCATGCACCCCTCTCTTCCACCACCACACTCACCTCTGCTTGCCGCTCACCTCTGCTCGCCTCTCACTTCTGCTCGCCTCTCACCTCTGCTCGCGCGAGCGCACAGTCATATGTGGGTCTAATGAACTCGTCTCTGCCACCGCCTCTCACCTCTGCTCCCGCGCACGTGCTTTCCAGCGTGCCGTTTCGCCGCACCGATGATTTCAGCAGCGGCCGGCACGGCGGGCGTCTTCAGCGGCGGCGATTGCGTCGAATTCAGCACTCGTGACAGGGCATATGGCACTTCCTGGCAGGAAGGGGAGGCGTGGATTAACGACGGACGGGAAGGGCCGGCGAGAGGAAGGGAGATACAGAACGAGCCGATGTGTGCGACAGCGGCACCTATGCGTGGCGGCGACGCGCGCATTGGCGACGTGGGGGACGACAAGGGTAGCAGCGGCGACACGCGCACCCGGCGCCCACGGCGGTTCTGTGATTCTCTCGTCGCCGTGCGACATCGCTTATGCGACGCTCAACGACGGCGGCGATGGCGACGACCCCGAGGAGGTCGAGACGAGCGGAAAGTCGTCCGTCGCTGACGAGTCGCCAGAATTCATTTTGGCCAGCGACAACCTAAGCGCTACTAGTGATTCTGAGAAGAACGCTTCTAAGTTTTCAGCGTCCGTTCTATGTGGCGGCATGTGAGGGCACCGCGCAATGCGCGGCAGCTTGGCAGCTCGGGTGAAGCTGACAGACCGACGAAGCGTGCGGTGCTGGGATGATAGAGGGATATCTTGTTTCGCGAAGACTAGGATGTAACAATGCTAGAAATGGTAGGAGGCCGGATTTGTGATAGAGGGAACGGTAAGTGAAAACACGAGGGAAAGTATGCGAATGGTAACTAGCTTGGGGCTCAATAACGCGTACAGCAGCCATGCGCAATCCGGCCAGCGTTACGACGGGTTCGGCGAAAAGCGAACGGCGTTCACTGCACTGCGACCACGAGTGGAAGCGGTTTATGGGATGCTTCCCGAGACGTTCCATTCGCGACATTTTTGCCGACACACACCCTAAGAAATGGCGAATGATTACGCTGATGGTCACTTAGAAAATAGCCGCCCGATCACCCTGATTTCAAGTTTTCAAAGGGCGCGTTTCTATCCCGTGTCAGACCTCAGGTCAAAGCTTCGGAAGCCACAAAGTGACTCGGTTTGTGTCTTCCGAACCTAAATTTGGCAGCATTCCGAGTCCCTTTGGGACTTCCCAACCTCAACTTCGTGTCTGGCTTCGTGTCTGACACGGGATAGAAACGTACCCAAAGGTTAATTCCAGGGATTTCTATCCCGTGTCAGACATAAGTTATGCGGCCTTAGGGCTTTCTTGGCTCGTGTCTGACATGAGGTCAGACACGAAGTGAAGTTGAGGAAGACCCGAAGTGAGCTGGAACTCTGGCAAATCAATGTTCGGAAGACCCGAAGTGGGCCACTTCGGGTCTTCCGAACCTCCATCCAAACCTCCAAATCTGACACGACGTAGGAATGCACCCTTAGTCTCCAATTTGTCTCTTTCGAACTTCTAATCGCCCCAAAAACGAGCCACTTCGGGTCTTCCCAACCTCCACTTCGTGTCAGACCTAATGTCTGACACGGGAGAAACGTACACCGGATGCCCATTTCAGTTCCGCTCCTTATCTTTCTCTGTGCTCCTCTTTCGAGCATGCGCTCTCAACGGGGAGAATGGGACTGTGTCTGGGTAGCCCAGCGTGTCTTGTCTGGGAAACTCGATTAACCTATTAGCGGTCAAGAATATCTTAGCTTTGTCGTGTGCTATTAACGCGCGGGCCGTTGGCTGTGAATGTTGACCACTGGGCGTATGGTGTGGCAATGGGCATGTTCAGAGTGGGTAGTTGAGTGAGCATTAGGGTGTACCCAAAGAATGTCCAGCATCGAAGGGAGTGTATTTTTGGCGGAATGTAGGTGGAGCGGGCACTCCGATTGTTCACCCGGGCAGCAGCATTTTGTGGCAGCCCTGCCACGTCACTTGGACGGAATGATGATAGCGTAAAGTGTGTGTATACAAATTTCTCAACCTCACTGCGTATAATTTTAGTAGAACTAAATCATTTTGGAAAACGGTCTGGATAACGTAACACAGCTTACAGTCAGTCACTCATACCGCGACTAGCAAACCCCGCGTTTCCAAGACAATTTTTCAAGGGGAGCCGCCCTCCAAACCTGTGGAAACCAAAGTTTGCGGACATATGTTTGAACTGTTACAGACACACTGTCGTCTTTCTGCCCCTGGCGGCGAAGGAAAATGAGCATAAATTATTCTGTTCAAGTCAATGCCAGCTTACGGGTTAGTGCGAATAAATTGTAGGTCTCCAAAGGTGGAGGTCACACCTGCGAAGAGCCTTTTGGGTTTTGGCGCGGGCAGGGGGGAGAGGGAAAGGAACCAGTGGATGGGGAGGGAAGCGCGATAGAGGGAGGAGAGGGTAGAAGTTGAGGGGAAAGGGGAGGATGGCTGGGGCAAAGGCTCTTGTTTGCCCGAACTGGGAATGGAACGTGTTTTTCCCGCAGGAAATAGCACCAGTTCTGCAATGACGCCAAAATCCCCCGATCTTGCTGCCTGAGTCATGCACAGCTACCCAAAAGTCTCTGAATGCTGGACAGACATATGTGATTCTATGTTCGAAAGAAGGTTTGGCAAACCTTCCTGCCTCGGGTGATGTCACATTATTTATCGAGCTGCACACCGGGTGCAAATTGCAGCCCTTCGTTCCGCACTCGCGATACAGTGGCTAACATCCTTTCCGCTGGCATACTACTGTACAGTGTATCTTCCCACCGATCCATTTCGCAGCCAGCAGCCGTTCCGCAGCCAGCTGGAGCCGTTTTGCAGACACACGAGCCTGCAACTCTCTGTATGAAGCAGGTGCCCAAATAATGTATAAATACATACGAATTTCCGGAATATGGAGGACTCTAAATACACCTTTGGGCAAACATTCGGAGGGTGACTACTACTAGATGGCCCTATAGAACCAGATCTGAAGGGGAAGCACTGCCACGTTGGCAACTTCATCTGGTTGAGCTTCCGCCTCGGGGTTTCGAGTTCTGCTCTCCACCGCCTTGCACAATTTAAGGCACGAGTGTTGGTGCTTCGAGTGTGTCCAATTTTTCACCAGAAACCAAGAACGTGGATATCAGACTCTTCTCGAGCAGTTTCATGCCACTTCAGTTTCTTACTACCCAGTTGTGCATCCACCATGTTTTTGTCGCGACAGCTTTCTTTTCTTGCCATCTGGACGCTAGCGTTGCTGCTGGCGCCTGCTGCGGCGAAGCGGCCCAGCAAGGAGCAGCTGATTGCGGAGGTTAAGAACGTTCGAGCCGCGCTTAAGGACCCCAAACTGAGTACCCAATATCGCGCCAGCGGCATGTTTCTTGACACGCTCATCCCTCAACTGGGTAACCATGTTTCGCGCACTACTTTTCTCCCTAAAAGACGGTTTTTTGCTTTTCTGTCTTAGTTATCTCACCTCGTTCATTTTTCGTGTGCATCAGAGAACAATTGGAATCCAACGGACGCGTTCCTCGCTTCAGCCGTCGGCAAAACCGTTCTGCTGCCTGAAGACACCGCAATCGGTTCCGCGGCCCCTGGTGCCCTCTACGACATGATGAAGCCGGGTCTGAAGCGCCAGGAGGTTCGCGGCTATGCATCGATGATTCGGTCTAATTTGCTTGCCGGGGTCTACGACGAGAATGGCATCAGTAACGCCAAGGTGTTGAAGGACGGAAATGGTCGCCAGGTGCCTAAGGCCGTGACAGTGAACGGTGTTAAGGGACGGAAGGGGAAGCCCTTAATCGGAAAGGGGAAGGCACGAATCAAGAATTCCAATCTGTATAAGGGCAAGTTTTTCATTATCCATGGTGTGGATGCAGTGCAGAAGCCGTAGTAACTTTCTCCTCCCTTCAGTTGATTCAAGCTTGGCAGGAAGATAAGGGGGATCTTCGTTTTTCTTGAGTCTTTGTGGGGCTGTTCTTATTTTACGCTATAGATTATGACATGACATTTAACATGGCTATCTGTTTGGAACTATATGAATTCAAAACAACACGTAAGACAGGTGTTTATGTAACATTCCATCATTCCCTGAAATACAAAACAGCAGCGAAGAGCTGAGGACTACAATTGACTGAGATGCCTTTCGTCTTTTAGGACGCGGGCACTCGCCCTGATCGCCAAGGAGCCGGTATGGCTTTCCTGGGTGGTTTCTTAGTTACCATGCGTGAAGTCCTTATTCAGCCCCATTTGCGGGGTTCAAATAGGGCAACCTACCGTGCCGGGGAAGCCACTCCAATCACGATAGGGCGTCAGTAGTCAAACACGATCGATCGCTGACTAGCGATTTGCCGAAATTGCGAGGGAATACGTTCGCGAAAAGAATTTTAGCGCAACTTTGTGTACCAGATTGTCACATGAAACATTTTGGTTTTTCGGTGAAATTGATCGCACACGTTTGATCAGACTTAGTACCAGAGGATCAGTGAAGACACGAGAGCCTCCCCTGATCCTTTGTCCCTCGGTCGCTCTGCTCTCCCAACTTCTCGTTTGCTCCAACCTCTAGACTACCTTCTCGAAAGTCTAGTCTAGACATCTCCATTTCAACGCCGGCGCGCTTCGTCGGGCTGTCGGCTCCACCCGAGCTGCCATGCAAGTCGCCACGCATTGCGGTGCAGTGCGGTTCACATGCCACCGGCTCACATGCCGTCACGCGGAGCCGACGCTAGCGTCGCTTCCCTGGAGCCAGAATAGAAGCCGAAACCCTAGAATTAGTCGCTTCCGGATCACTCGCGCTCGAAGCTATCAATCGCCTACACGTGTCCCTTCGCGACTCTTCAGCGACGGGCGACTTCCCTTTCGTCTCGAAGTCGTCAATGTCGTCCCCATCGCCGCCGTCGTTGAGCGTTGCATAAGCGATGTCGCAAGGCGACGAACGATTCACAGAACCGCCGTGCACGCCGCAACTGATGCGCGTGTCGCCGCTACTACCCGTGTCACCCCCCATGCCGCCTTTACGGGTGCCACCGCCACGCGTGGCGCCGCTGTAGCGCGCATCGACTCTTTCTGCTTCCCCCTCCCACTCTCGCCGTCACTTTTCGTCCATCGTCATGCCGCGCCTCCTCTCCGTGCCACTGAATCCGCCGCTATTTCCGCCGTTGAAGGCTCCAGCAACGCAGACGGAACAGTTGCTTCCTCCCCGCCTTCCCCCTCACCCTCCCCCGCATCCTCCCCCTCATCCTCCGCCGACGCTTCCGACTCTTCCGCGTCTTCCGCCGCCCCGGCTTCCGAGCCTCCCCAGAGCAAGCGACAGTTCGCCATCGGCGCGCTACAGCAGCTGCCTGCCGTGTCGCCCGCTGCGGAGATTATCGGCACGGCGCTTCGACGCGCCAAGCACGTACGCGCGAGCAGAGGTGAGCATAAGCGTGAGTGCGTGCTGAATCCTGATCCTTCCTCTGTCGCTCCCTTGATCTTAGCAATATCCCCCTTCACCTCTTCCCCTCGAGCGCACACTCACACTCAGGCGTCTTTTCTGACATGTTGAGCTTATCACCTGATGTGTGAACCCGAAAACTGAATTCAGAGACCCCGAAACCCGAATTCCATCTTGCGAATTTGGTTGATGCGTTGTGCATGACGCATTTACCGAGCTTGCTTTCGTATCTACAGATTCAATGCATTAATGGCACGTGAGTGGGTGGGTTGATGGGCGGGTGTGGGTGGGTGAACTGGGTGGGTGCGTGCATGCATGCGAGGGTGGGTGCAGGCATCATGAATGCAGCGAAGAGGGAGAGAAGCAAAGGAGCCCAACAACTGGACTGCCTTACCAAGGCATGTATGGCACGTGGAGCACGCAGGGCATGTGGGGCATCCTGGTGGTACATGTATAGCATGAATGCCTTTTCTGGTTGTATGTCTTGGTAGCTACAATTCCTTACACACATCCATGAGGGAACGCATTTCCCTCGTGTTTGACTCCTTTTCTAGTATCCCACCCTGCTCTCACACTTTCTGTCACATTCAACTCCTCTGCCTCTCGCGCATCGTCCACATCCCTCAACCCCTCACCCTGTAAAGCCCTCACCCTGTAAAGCCCTCACCCTGTAAAACCCTCACCCTGTAAAACCCTCACCCCGTAAACCCTTCACCCCGTAAAACCCTCACCCCATAAAACCCTCACCCTGTAAAACCCTCACCCTGTAAAACCCTCACCCCGTAAACCCTTCACCCCGTAAAACCCTCACCCCATAAAACCCTCACCCTGTAAAACCCTCACCCTGTAAAACCCTCACCCCGTAAACCCCTCACCCCGTAAAACCCTCACCCCATAAAACCCTCACCCTGTAAAACCCTCACCCTGTAAAACCCTCACCCCGTAAACCCCTCACCCCGTAAAACCCTCACCCTGTAAAACCCTCACCCCTCAACCCCTCACCCCGCAACCCCTCACCCCGTAAACCCCTCACCCCGTAAAACCCTCACCCCATAAAACCCTCACCCTGTAAAACCCTCACCCTGTAAAACCCTCACCCCGTAAACCCCTCACCCCGTAAAACCCTCACCCTGTAAAACCCTCAACCCTCAACCCCTCACCCCGCAACCCCTCACCCCGCAACCCGTTACCCCTCAACCCCTCACCCCTCAACCCTTCACCCTGCCTGCCCTCATTCCGCAGGAGATCAGCGGTCCTCTGGGGCGCTACGTGCGCCTCTTCCCCCGCCGCTCCCACCTGCACCCCTTTGAGCGCTGCCTGGTGGAGCTCACCCTTGGAGAAGGGGTGTACGAGGAGGTGAGAATATGAGGCGGTGAGGGAGTGTGGCGGTGATTGCAATGGTGAGGGAGCTCACTCACTTCCCCCGGCGCTCCCAGCTGCACCCCTTTGAGCGCTGCCTGGTGGAGCTCACCCTCGGAGAGGGCGTGTATGAGGAGGTGAGCAGGTGAGGCGGTGAGGGAGGAGAGAGAGTGAGGAGGGGAGTGAGACTCCTTGGTTGGCCTGTGTGTCTGCCTGCGCCCCACTCGTTTCCCCCACCGCCCCCAGCTGCACTGCACCCCTTGAGCGCCAGCTGGTGGACCTCACCCTCGGAGAAGGGGGTGTATGAGGAGGTGAGGTGGTGAGAGAGGAGAGAGGAGAGAGGTGATGCGCTGAGAGAGGTAGGGTGATGAGGCGGTGAGGGTGGAGGGGAGGGGAGAGGAGATATTTGGTTTAGATAGTGAGTGCTGCTCTGGCTTGGCTTGTGTGGCTGAGGGGACCTTTGGGTTGCCCTGTCTGTGCCTCACTCCCCCTGCCGCCACCAGCTGCACCCTGTGTGCGCTCCCTGGAGGAGGTGAGGAAGGCTAACCTTGGGCGAGGGCGTGTACGAGCAGGTGAGGCAGTGTGGTTGGTGTTGAGGAGGCGGAGGAAGGTTGAGAAGGTTTGAGAAGGGTGAGAAAGGTTGACAAAGAGGTGACGGCTTTGCAGGTGCGGCTCGACATTTTGAGTTGAGACGTGGTGGTCCCACTTGGAGAGTGCCTGGAAGAGTTTCGACCAGCAAGTGGGGAGTGCCTGCCTGCTCTTGATCACATGCTCCCTCACTCCAACATGGGTAACAGCTGGACTAACCTCACCCACAGTGCCCACCATCCACCTCTTCATTCCGGTGCAGATGGTTTCACTGGGATTCTAAGCGGTGCCGCTGCCTAGTTGCTCGCGTTTGTGTGTGCTGTGCTGCCCGCCAGGTGGTGCTGTCTCGCGTGGACGCCCTTCGCAAGAGGGTGCTGGACTGGACGTGGGCAAGAACGTATCGAGTCGACTCAAACAGCACCTGGTTTCAAGGGGTTTCTGCATATGACTCTGCTCTGCTTCTCGCCTCTGGCTGTGCTGTGCTGTGCTGTGCTCTGCTCTGCTCTCCCGCCAGGTGCTCTCTCGAGTGGACGCCCTGCGCAAGAGGGTGCTGGACGTGGGCAAGAATGCTGCCAGCCTTGTCAACAAGGTGGGTACTGTGCGGTGCGGTGCGGTGTGTGCTGCCGCCGTCGTAGCTAGCCTCTGGATCTGCAGCCTTATCCATGTCGTTTTTATTTGATCCTGTTCGGCCAAGGTCATGTCTATGGGGGGACACTGCTCATGGGGGGACACTGCGCATTGGGGGACACTGCGCATGGGGGGCACTGTGCATGGGGAGGCGCTGCACATGGGGGGGCACTGCACATGGGAGGCACTGCGCATGGGGGGGCACTGCGCATGGGGGGGCACTGCACATGGGGGGGCACTGCGCATGGGGGGGCACTGCGCATGGGGGGGCACTGCGCATGGGGGGGCACTGCACATGGGGGGGCACTGCGCATGGGGGGGCACTGCACATGGGGGGGCACTGCGCATGGGGGGGCACTGCGCGTGTGAGGGCAGTGCACGTGTCCCATCCCTGACTGCTGTTTCGGCTGGCGCTTACATTGTGTAACCCCTTGTTCTGAACGCCCTGTTCCGTGCAGACGAGCACCGTGAAGGAGGCGGAGCAGGCCACTGCACAGGTACTCTCGGGCTCCCTTAGAGCTGCTAGCTAGAGCTGCACAGCACAGCACAGGTACTCTCAGGTACTGTCTGCAGCACAAGCAGCATGAGAGTTCCCTTAGAGCTGCTAGAGCTACAGTGCAGGGGAACTCTCATGGGGCCTTTAAATGGCTTCCTTCACCCTTCGTCTGTCTCACTACCCTCATGGCTTTTACTTTCTTTCACTCAGCTTGTTGTTTAACAAAAATTCCAAACCGGAACTTCTTATTCTTATTAAAAACTAGATCGTTCCATGTTCCTTACTCCTCGCATCTCCTTTCGTGCGACAGCCCCTTCCTTGCTTTCCCTCCGTGCTCCACCCCTCGCCTCAACAGGCCATGCCCATGACACACAATGACACACAGGTGGAGGAGCTATACACACGCAACAGCCACTTCCCGGTGCCAACTTCCCCTTCCTCGCTGCCCCTCCCTGCTTCACCCCTCGTCCTGTCACCCCTCGCACCACCATCAGGGCATGGCACAGGTGGAGGAGCAACAGCCACTTCCCGTCCCGGCGCCCACTTTCCCTTGCTTGCTTTCCCTCTCTGCCCCGCCCCTCGCCCTGTGTCACCCCGATCAGGGCATGGCACAGGTGGAGGAGCTGTACACGCGCAACAGCCATGTGGTGGAGCGACTCAAAGAGATCACCAAGGTCAGTGCGTGCTGAGCTGACAGCTTGGCGCAGCAAATGGCTCGTGAGTCCACTCGAAGGCGCAACAGTCGTGTGGTGTAGTGTATTGGTGAGGCGCCTCATAGGTGGAGGAGCTATACACACACACACACACACACACACACACACACACACACACACACACACACACAGCAGCAGCAGCAGCAGCAGCCACGTGGTGGAGAGACTCAAGGGCCTCGCCAAAGTCAGTGAGTGCTGATAACTGGGTGCAGCAATGGACTGTGAGTCTGACTCCAAGACGCAGCAATCACTTGGTTTGGTTGGTGGAGCGACTCAAAGACATCACCAAGGTCAGGTCAGTGATTCACTCACCGCTGCTGCTGCAATTTTCTGGTAAGTTCCGGGCAGCTCTGTGTCATACTGTTGTGGTGGCCAAACGCTTTTGCGACCGTCTCAAGGACTGCCGTGCTGCCACCCCAGCTGTGCCTACCATCACGCTTCTCTTCTCCCTGCCGTCCTCGAACCCCTCCTCGCTGCGCCATCACTCCTCGCCACTCTATCCCCTGCTCCTGCCCACTCCTCCGTGCCTCAGAGGCTCCGAGCCATACCGGTGCTGCGATGGGACCTGCCCACGCTGTGTTTGCTGTGCCTACCACCGCTGTTCTCCCTGCTCCCTTCCTTGCTCCGCTGCTTCCCTCCATGCTCGCCCGTGTCTCAGAGGCTCCGAGCCATACCGGTGGTGCGGCCGGACCTGCCAACGCTGTGTGTGCTGTGCCTGCCATCACCATTCTCCCCCCTGCTCCATCCCCGCCCTGCCTGCACCCACCGTGCCTCAGAGGCTCCGAGCCATACCGGTGGTGCGGCCGGACCTGCCAACACTGTGCCTGGTGGGGGCGCCCAACGTGGGCAAGTCATCCCTCGTGCGCGCCATCTCCACTGGCAAGCCTGAGGTGCGTGGGTGTGTGAGTGGGCTTGTGGGGGAAGAGAGGTTGGGAGGGATTGTGTGTGGGTGTGTGTGGGGGGGAAAGGAAAGGAACGCGGGGGGGGGGATGGTTGGGGGGGGTTTGCTAACCAACCACCCATTACTGTGTGTGCCCTTGATGTGCTGTGCCCAACTGCCAGTACTTCTTCCTTTCATGGATGCATGTCTGTGTGCATGCATGTCTGTGTGCATGCATGTCTGTGTGCATGCATGTCTGTTTGCATGCATGTCTGTGTGCATTCATGTCTGTGTGCATGCATGTCTGTGTGCATGCATGTCTGTGTGCATGCATGTCTGTGTGCATGCATGTCTGTGTGCATGCATGTCTGTGTGCATGTATGTCTGTGCACATGCATGCCTGTGTGCATGTCTGTGTGAATGCATGACTGTGTGCATGCATGTCTATGTGCGTGCCTGCATGCATGCAGGTGTGCAACTACCCATTCACCACGCGGGGCATCAGCATGGGGCACTTCTATGTGGATGGCCAGAAGCACCAGGTCAGTGCATGCGATGCATGGCGTTACATGGTGTATAGCGCATGGGGCGTGGAGTGGTGCATGGGGCACTTCTATGTGGATGGCCAGAAGCACCAGGTCAGTGCATGCATGGCGCGTGCATTGCGCATGCATGGGGCGTAGGGCATGGTGCATCGTACACGATGCATGGTGCATTGCTTACACGTGCACCATCTTGTGTTATCATAGCTTCCCTGTGAGCATGCAGCGGGGATTTTACAGGTGTAGGGTGTGCTTTACCTCCAGTTCTGGAGCCGACTCTCTGTCTCGCTCTCACCACCATCCTTGCTCCTTTCTGCTGCTGCTTCTGTCGGTGCTCCTCAAAACGGTTCTGCTGACATTTAATCCCTTTCTGCCTTGCTCTGCTCCTCCAATCCTCTTACTGTTTACTGTCAGGTCACAGACACACCAGGCTTGCTCTCCCGCCCTGATGGTACCCGCTCTCCTCCTACTCCCAGTGCTCTCCTCCTCCTCCTCCCAGTGCTCTCTTTTCTTGACTTCTTGGTTCCGTTTTGTATTTTGATGCTCTTACTCTCCTGCTCCCTCTCCTGTTCCTTCTCCTGCACCCTCCCTGCTCCGTCTGCTGCAAGCTCTTCTGCATCATACATGATTACAGCAGCACAGCTCTTTTAGCCACATTACCACATACATCAAGTTTCACATGCACATGCTCCACTGCCCATGCTCCACTGCCCATGCTCCACTGCCCATGCTCCACTGCCCATGCTCCATGCTCCACTGCCCATGCTCCACTGCCCATGCTCCACTGCCCATGCTCCACTACCCATGCTCCACTGCCCATGCTCCACTGCCCATGCTCCACTGCCCATGCTCCACTGCCCATGCTCCACTGCCCATGCTCCACTGCCCATGCTCCACTGCCCATGCTCCACTGCCCATGCTCCACTGCCCATGCTCCACTGCCCATGCTCCACTGCCCATGCTCCACTGCCCATGCTCCACTACCCATGCTCCACTGCCCATGCTCCACTGCCCATGCTCCACTGCCCATGCTCCACTACCCATGCTCCACTGCCCATGCTCCACTGCCCATGCTCCACTGCCCATGCTCCACTGCCCATGCTCCACTGCCCATGCTCCACTGCCCATGCTCCACTGCCCATGCTCCACTGCCCATGCTCCACTGCCCATGCTCCACTGCCCATGCTCCACTGCCCATGCTCCACTGCCCATGCTCCACTGCCCATGCTCCACTGCCCATGCTCCACTGCCCATGCTCCACTGCCCATGCTCCACTGCCCATGCTCCACTGCCCATGCTCCACTGCCCATGCTCCACTGCCCATGCTCCACTGCCCATGCTCCACTGCCCATGCTCCACTGCCCATGCTCCACTGCCCATGCTCCACTGCCCATGCTCCACTGCCCATGCTCCACTGCCCATGCTCCACTGCCCATGCTCCACTGCCCATGCTCCACTGCCCATGCTCCACTGCCCATGCTCCATGCTCCACTGCCCATGCTCCACTGCCCATGCTCCACTGCCCATGCTCCACTGCCCATGCTCCACTGCCCATGCTCCACTGCCCATGCTCCACTGCCCATGCTCCACTGCCCATGCTCCACTGCCCATGCTCCACTGCCCATGCTCCACTGCCCATGCTCCACTGCCCATGCTCCACTGCCCATGCTCCACTGCCCATGCTCCACTGCCCATGCTCCACTGCCCATGCTCCACTGCCCATGCTCCACTGCCCATGCTCCACTGCCCATGCTCCACTGCCCATGCTCCACTGCCCATGCTCCACTGCCCATGCTCCACTGCCCATGCTCCACTGCCCATGCTCCACTGCCCATGCTCCACTGCCCATGCTCCACTGCCCATGCTCCACTGCCCATGCTCCACTGCCCATGCTCCACTGCCCATGCTCCACTGCCCATGCTCCACTGCCCATGCTCCACTGCCCATGCTCCACTGCCCATGCTCCACTGCCCATGCTCCACTGCCCATGCTCCACTGCCCATGCTCCACTGCCCATGCTCCACTGCCCATGCTCCACTGCCCATGCTCCACTGCCCATGCTCCACTGCCCATGCTCCACTGCCCATGCTCCACTGCCCATGCTCCACTGCCCATGCTCCACTGCCCATGCTCCACTGCCATGCTCCACATGCTCCACTGCCCATGCTCCACTGCCCATGCTCCACTGCCCATGCTCCACTGCCCATGCTCCACTGCCCATGCTCCACTGCCCATGCTCCACTGCCCATGCTCCACTGCCCATGCTCCACTGCCCATGCTCCACTGCCCATGCTCCACTGCCCATGCTCGACTGCACATGCTCCACTGCCCATGCTCCACTGCCCATGCTCCACTGCCCATGCTCCACTTCCCATGCTCCACTACCCATGCTCCACTGCCCATGCTCCACTGCCCATGCTCCACTACCCATGCTCCACTAACCATGCTCCACTGCCCATGCTCCACTGCCCATGCTCCACTGCCCATGCTCCACTGCCCATGCTCCACTACCCATGCTCCACTGCCCATGCTTCACTGCCCATGCTCCACTGCCCATGCTCCACTGCCCATGCTCCACTGCCCATGCTCCACTGCCCATGCTCCACTGCCCATGCTCCACTGCCCATGCTCCATGCTCCACTGCCCATGCTCCATGCTCCACTGCCCATGCTCCACTGCCCATGCTCGACTGCACATGCTCCACTACCTATGCTCCACTGCCCATGCTCCACTGCCCATGCTCCACTGCCCATGCTCCACTGCCCATGCTCCACTGCCCATGCTCCACTGCCCATGCTCCACTGCCCATGCTCCACTGCACATGCTCCACTGCCGTATTACATGGTGCATACTCTTGCTCTGCTCCCGTTTCCCATGCACCGCTCTTCCCGTCCTGCCCTCGCGCTGGCCTCGCCCTGTGCTCGCCCTGCCCCCTCCCTGCCCTCATCCCCAGAGCAGCGCAACAGCATAGAGCTTCTCACCATAGCAGCTATCACCCATCTGCCCACTGCTTTGCTTTTCGTTCATGACCCCTCGGAGGAGTGCGGTGTCAACCGGTTGAAGCAGGTGAGGAGTGCGGTGTCAACTAGTTGAAGCAGGTGAGGAGTGCGGTGTCAACCGGTTGAAGCAGGTGAGGAGTGCAGCTTTGTTTGCCTTGTTTTCCACAGTCCATCCTACCGCACTGCACCGTGCTCTACCCAATTTCACCTTGCATGCAGTCAGTTGTTCTTCATTCCAGCTTACCCTTATTGGCCTTGTTGCATTTGTTGCTCCTTGCACTTGCTGCCTTTGCACTTAATCACCATTCCCCTACCCTTGCCAGTATCAATTGTACAGCGAGATAAAGACAAGATTTGCCGACCGCGTGTGGATCGACGTGATATCCAAGTGCGACCTGCCTGCTGCTGCTCCCACGGAGGAGCCTCCAGGCGGCCAATCAGAGGAAGCGGATGGGGATAGAAGAAGTGGTTCGGACAGGAGGGATACCGCTGCGGTGCTGCTGGGTGAAGCCGAGGCAGTGCGGGAAGCACATGGGGAGGAGATCGCAGAAGTGGCAGTGAGAGCAGCAAGCGTGGCGGTGGCGTGGGAGGCGTACAAGGCTCACGGTGGACCGGCTGCTTCCCTGCGAGTGTCAACCGTGGCGGATGTTGGTGTGGAGGAGGTGAGAGGCGGGTGTTGGTGTGCAGGAGGTGAGAGGCAGGTGTTGGTGTGCAGGAGGTGAGAGGCGGGTGTTGGTGTGCAGGAGATGAGAGGCGGGTGTTGGTGTGGGGGAGGTGAGAGGCGGGTGGCTTCGACTTGAGTGGGGCAGGCAGTGAGCGCAGCTATAAGCCAAGTGTTGCATCGTTGTTCATTCAAAGCACCTTGGTTGGTTCTGTAACGCAATGCCATGTGCCTTGGGCACCGAGCCTAGCCTTGACTCCCTTCCGTTGCTGCTGCTCGATTTTCTTCAATTTCTTGCATAATTCTTATCAATCTTTCTTCCTCGTCACACTTTCCTCTTTCCCCCCTCTGTATCCCTTCTTGACATGCGTCTCCCCCTCTGCACACATGCCATATACCAGTTGTTGCACGCCATACAGGCCATGCTGTGTGCACCCTCCCTTGCATCTGCTCACTCATCCCCGCCTGCACTGCTCCTCACCCCTCCCACTGCCACACCTTCCCAAGCCCTGCCGCCAACTCAACCTAAGGATACAGAAGGTTCCGCGAACCTTCATGAAGATGCTACAGGGCAAAGTGCCAAGCACAGTTTGAAGGCATTGGAGGGAGAAAATCATACTGGCGGGTCGAGCAAAGCAGGGAAGAAGGGCAAAGGCAATGACTTTTACTACCCCCCACTGCCCTCTCACATGATGAAAGGTGCATGACATGCCCGATAATGCAAAGAAGCATCCTGTCCTGTGTGTCACATGCTTGGTGTCAGCTTGTCGGATCATCTATGGGTAGGAAATGAAGCAATGGAATAGTAGCAAAGTTCTGCTGGAACTTTCCATCTTCTTGAGCGTATCAAGTATTTACTGGGCATTGGAGTGCAAGGGTGCCAACTGCAGGCATCCAGCAGTTCCTTGTGTGCATGGATGGATGCCATGCATCAACGTCGGCGGCAGGGCTGACGCTATCAGAGTAAATAGTCTGATTAGTCTGACGGATCAGACCATCGAGTTTGTGAAAAATGGAATTCCAGAGTAGTCAAATTTTCATCACTGAGAGCCTCAGAGTTATTGTTTTATGGCCCCTGATTCAGTGTAATAGGCCTCAGTGTTAGTCATTTCTGGAGTCTGTCACTACAGAGTATGCGTTCTGTGGTCCCTGCATGCAAGTTTATCGGGAGGAAGCTTCCTCGAAATTTCCTTTCGATACACCCACCTCCGAGGTTCACTAGTGAGGGTCAAACTGGTGAGTCAAACCTGTCTTGACTGGTCACAGCACCAGCGTCATTAAAAAATCGCGTTGACAAAGCGAATTCGCGCCGTACGGAGCAACGAATTTGCCCAATCACAGCGAAATGGCCCTGACACAGCAGATTTGAGCTGTCAGAGCACAAAGGTCTTGACCAATCACAGTAAAATGTCTCTGACATTGCACATTCGCCCTTTCACAGAACAGATTCGCCATCAAAGTTCAGTTTTGATAATGCACAGCGCGTTACTACACGTACCCTGATCGTGACTTCTCGACCCTGAACACTCAGCCTGTATAACTTCCCAACACTGAGCAATCAGGGTGCTGCTTTTCTGGAAAATATGCCTTCAGGGTAAATTTTTTTTTTTTTTGGTGGACATCAGGGTACCTAAATTTGAAACGTCAGCCCTGGTCGGCGGCACACTTGGCCTTGCCCACCAACCATACCCTAATACCGTGCGAAGGCAGCGTCATTTCTAGCATAACAGCTTGATTCAAGATGGCATCACTGTAAAGTACAACAGTCACAACTTCCTCAAGGTGGCTGGCACCGCGCCATCCCATCACAACCAAGACAAAGCGCCACTCTACTAACTCTACTGCTCCCTCGGCTGCACCGCATCCACGCCATGGATGATAAAAAGCTTCCCTCTGAAAATCGCTGGAGTCTTGATCTTGGCCTTGCCCTTCCCTAACGCCACCTTCTTCTTGCCAGTCTTGGCGTCCGAAATCTCAGCCGCATCCACGTTGTGCCCATTCGCGTTCTTCAGCCCCTTGGTGTTTGCCAGGTCGTCCTCCTCGTACACTCCGTCCAGAATGTTCGCATGAATCCATTTCCCGTACGGGGTAACGTCGTTGCGCTGAAACTTGGATTTCGCGAACGTGGTAACCGCGTCAGGCGCCGCGGAAGCGATGGCTGTATCGTCGGGTAGAAGGACGGTTTTCCCCTCGGTGTTGGCGAGATAGTCGTCTGGTGGGTTCCAGTCCGTATCTGAATCACATAAGGAAAGAATTGACGTGGGTACAGGGAATCTAAAAGTTCCTCGACGAGAAAATAGTAGAACGAAGAAGAAAGAGAAAAACAACGGCGATTTACCCATAATTGGGACGAGCTGGTCCACAATTACGCCGCTGCTCTTGTATCGGCCGCCCAATTTAGGGTCGTTGAGCGCTTCCCGAGCCGCCTTCACCTCGTTGAATAGATCCTCCTTGCTGGGACGAGCGGCAGCTGAAGCCAGCAGCAATGCGAGCGCGCAGGCAATGGCGACAAACGAGTGCTGGCCCATGGTGCGTGTGCAGGACGTAAAACACTTAACTCAAGTTGAACCTAAGAAGCAATTACAGAAAAGGCTGCATGACTATTACCGGTACGTGGAGAGGCAAAAACACCTCTAGCTGAAAATGTGAACGAGAAAGGTGAGAAGTGAGGGCGCTTTGTGAACAAGAAGAAAGCTCACCCTCAGTCACCAGCCTCGCCCATGCCGCCCTAGACATCAATCGGAGTGAGGCTCAGGGGACTTCCGCCGCATCATGCTTGATCACGCCCCACGATTCTCAACATGCGACGCGACTCCACCTCCACCCTGAACAACCCCATCCACCTGGGTTTGGCTTCGTGATCCATCGCAAAAGTCTCACGTCCCCGGCGAAAGTGATGCGAAAACAAAATGTGCAGAAAATGCTGGACCAGACCGCGATGTTGAGTGGCACCAGGCATTTCCGCAGACGCAGGAAATGTCCCGACATACACGGCGGCGACTTGCCCCACGCGAACTTCCAGTGTCAAGCCTGTCAAATGTTATATCTGCTACAGTTTGTTTAGGCTGTAGTGGGGTAGTTACTATGGGGTACAGTAAGTTTAGGGTTTCCCACTTATACCCAACCCTTTCCTAGTGCAATCACCCTTGTTAATTCTGACATGGTATTACGAGCCTAGGTTAGGAACCTAGGACCGCTTAGTCCTAAGGGCCCACCTTTCCGCTAGAAGAGCCCTCGAGCGCCCTATTGCCTACCCGCACCCTCGAGCACCTGCCTACCCGCGCCCTCGAGCGCCTGCCTATCCGCGCCCTCGAGCGCCTGCCTACCCGCGCCCTCGAGCGCCTACCTACCCGCGTCCTTGTGCGCCTGCCTACTCGCGCCCTCGAGCGCCACCCTGCCGTCCTGCCCTGCAGGCAGGGCGCAGCCGCCCTTGGACCCCGCGACGCGTCGCACTGCTCGTCGCGACGCCTTTGCAGGACCCGGGCGTCGCCCCTGCCTCGTTGCAACGCCCCTGCGGGACGCGCGCGCCGCCCCCTGCCTCTTCGCGACGCCCTTGCGGGACTCGCGCGTCCCCCCCCGCCTCGTCGCGACACCCCTGCGGGACCCGCGCGTCGCCCCCGCCTCTTTGCGACGCCCCAGCAAGACCCGCGAGGTGCGGCTCCTGCGCGTCGCGCCGCCCCAGCGGGACCCAGGCGTCGCCCTCGCTCGTCGCGATGCTCCTACGGGGCCCGCGCGGCGTCGCCCCTGCCCGCCGCGTCGCCCTGCCTTACCCCGCGCCCGCCCTTTGGACGGCCGCCCCTGCCTCGCCCTGCAGCAGCTCCCGTTGCGGCCCCGCCCCACCCTGCAGCAGCGGACGTCGCGACCCTGTCCCTGCCCTGCACCAGCTGCCGTCGCGGCCCGGTCCCGCCCTGCAGCAACTGCCGCGGAGCCCCTAGCCGCAGTCGTCACCCCGCCCTGCAGCAGTTGCCGCGGAGCTCCCTGCCACGGTCGCGGCCCCGCCCTGCCGCTGTAGCGGCCCCGCCCTGCCGCTGTAGCGGCCCCGCAGTCGCCTCCGTCGTGCGCCTGCCATTCCCATCACTGGTGAGCACTGCCCTGGCCGTGCTGTTACTACTGCTGCTACTACTACTACTGCTCCTGTTGCTACTGTTTCTACTGCTATTCCTGGCGTGGCCAGATGCAGCTCCAGGGCCGTCCGCGTGTGTCCCTCACGCCCCAGCAGCTTCGTGAGTGGTACGCCAGTTGGGGTTGTCGGGGTGGCAGCAGTGGGAATCGTCCTGGAGTGGGTAGTTCGGGAGCTACTTGTAGTGGCCCGGTGCAGAAGCACCGTCATCCGCGCAAGACTCGTTCGCCCCAGCAGCTTCGTGAGTGGTACGCTAAGAGTAGAGGGTCGTTGAGTACTGCTCGCTGCCCGTACGTTATTAGCATGGGTGTTCGGACTAGTCAGCCTTGCGGGACGCCTGGTCATACAGAGTCCCGCTGCTCCACCCGTCTGAGCGACGCTTGGCGTACAGAGTTTGGCGACGACGCTGAGCTTCCCGACTAGGTGGAGCTACTGAGGCAGAGGGTAGATATCTTTGCTCTTGACTATGATGCTATTCTCACTGCAATGTATGCATTGTCTACTAGTGCCGAGGGAGCCTGTCACCCGTGTATGCCGCCTGACGCCGTTATCCAGTCTGCTGCTCCAGGTGCCGGTGAGGCTGCTGCTCTAGGTGCTCGTGCGTCTCCTGCTCCAGGTTCTGGTGAGGCTGCTGCTCTAGGCGTTGGTGAGTCTGCTGCTTCAAGTACTTGTGAGTTTGCGCCTACAGGTATTGCGTCTACTGAGGCACTGCACACCTTCACACTGGACTCACATGCTTCCCGCTGTTTCTTTCGCGACCGCACTGCCCTAGAGTAGCTCCCTAGACCTGTTGCTGTCTCCCTGGTTGACCCCTCCGGGGGTCCGGTCCTTGCGACCTCCACCACTGCCCTCCCTTGTTCTGCTGTCCCGTCTAGCACACTGTCGAGCCATTACCTCCCCTCGTTCTCTACGAACTTGGTGGCGGGTTCCGCGCTCCAGGACACGGGTGTTCACCAGTTCAACCCCTGCCTACGAGCGTGTGACACACTGCACGTGTGCCCAGACAGGTCGTCACCTGGCTACCTTTACTCGGCAGCCGGGGTCGGACTTGTACTGTGAGAGTACGACGGCTTATGCCAGCTATGCTTGCTTGCCTTTACTTTATTATGCTATTTCTAGCACAGGATAATCATATGCATGCATGAATTGCTTGATTTCCTAGGTTAGGTGCTTTCCTATATTTTATTATAGTTATAGGACCGAGCTAGGTTACGTGCACCGAATTCTGGCCTTTTCGGTTGCCACCGAATTGCCTTCTACCGATTCTGAAAAGGGCCTGTTCGGGACGCGACGCGGCCCGCAGAACCTTCGCGTAACAGCTGGTTACGGGGCCTTGTGTCGAGCCTATATATCAGCCTCGTGTTGTACCCAGGTGATAATTCAATTCATTCAATTCTTATTCTCTTTTCTGAGCTTGATCCTAGATCCTTGCACTTGGTAGTCAGAGCCTGTTTAGACGCGAAGTTTTACGACCGCTAAAACCTAGCTTTGAAAACCGCGGGGGCGACGACGGGAAGCGCCGATTTCGGGTACGTAAACCAGTTCCGCGCTCTTTTCTAACTCCCCTCGAAACGCTTTTTGAACACCCCTCAGGTCCAGTGTTGAAAATGTTGGAATTTCGACCGTCGGATCGATTTGAATCTCAACGGCCTCGAGAATTTAACCCAAACAAGTTGGAACTTGGAGCGTCGGATCGAGTTTCTTCTCAACGGCCGAGATCAGACGCGAATTTCAATTGAGGGAGAATAACGCGACCTACAGAATTAGCCCTCGTCATTTCTGCAGTCAACTCGACTCATAGTAAGACGACCAGCGCCTGAAATTCATTTTGTTTCGTCGCAAATCTTCTTATAAATCGCCAAATGGAGGAAAATGGTGATAATTCCGTACGGAAAATTATGGAGTTACACACCGGCCTGGACCAGACGCGAGCGGCACACCAGCGAATAGAGGAGCTTCTCGCGAACCAGTCGGCAGCCGCCATAGCAGCAGCGAACGCAGCGGCGAATGCAGCAGTTACGTCAGCAGCAGCAGCGGTGACACCGACACTTAACCCAGCAGCAGCGGCAGCAGCTACAGTGAATCTTGACGCGGCACGTGCAAGGCTACCGGAGACATCCAATCCAAATGCTAGAGACACTGACGTTCGTCGATTCATTGCGACTCTCGAAATTTACTTCGAGGCCGTTGGCCGTACGACCCCGACACACGATGCAATGCAGATTCGGCTCGCAGCGAGACTGTTACGAGGCCCAGCGCTTGAGTGGATTTACAACAGCAATAAGATCCGAGGCGAGAGGTCATGGACGCAGTTTTGGGAAGCTTTAATTCAACGTTTCGAACCAATCAACTCAAGCTACATGGCGCGGCAGCAGATTCTGTCAAATTAGAATATTGTGTAGGCTGTAGTGGGGTAGCCTATATGGGGTGCACATTTCTAGGGTTGCATATTTGTACCACTTTCATTCCTTAGTGCATCATTCTCGTTTCTTCTCATGGTATCGAGCAGGTTCCCTCGTGGGAACTGTTCATAGGGCCCACCAAGTCGATTTTTGTTTTTATGCCCGGAGCGCACTTCACTTAGGCCCGAGTCGCGCCTAGTGTGCCCTCGCTACTAACGCGCCCGTCCTAGGCCTCCTTCGGCCCCGTCGCGTCGCCCCTAGCGGCCTCCCTCGTGCCGCCCTTACTCGGCCCGTCGCCACCCTCAGCAGCCCATTGCCGCTCTTGCGCCGCCCTCACCTGCGGCCGTGCCACCTACCTGCAGCCCCGCCGCCCTTCGCTGCGGCCCCGCCACCTTACCTACGGCCCCGCCACCTTACCTGCGGCCCCGCCACCTTACCTGCGGCCCCGCCACCTTACCTGCGGCCCTGCCACCTTACCTGCGGCCCCGCCGCCCTTCGCTACGGCCCCGCCCCCTTCCCTGCGGCCCCGTCGCCTGCTGCTGCGGACCCGCCACCTTACCTGCGGCCCCACCACCCTTTACCTGCGGCCCCGCCACCTTGCTTGCGGCCCCGCCACCTCACCTGCGGCCCCGCCACCTTGCTTGCGGCCCTGCCACCTTCCCTGCGGCCTCGCTGCCCTTCGCTGCGGCCCCACCACCTTATCTGCGGCCCCGTCGCCTGCTGTTGCGGCCTCGCCACCTTACCTGCGGCCCTACCGCCCTTTACCTGCGGCCCCGCCACCTTGCCTGCGGTCCCGCCACCTTACCTGCGGCCCCGTCGCCCTTCGCTGCGGCCCCGCCACCTTGCCTGCGGCCCCGCCGCCCTACCTGCGGCCTCGCCACCTTACCTGCGGCCCCGCCGCCCTCCAGTGGCCCCGCCGCCCTACCTGCGGCCCCGCCGCCCTACCTGCGGCCCCGCCGCCCTACCAACGGCCCCGCCGCCCTACCAGCGTCCCTTCCGCCCTACG